GACCCCGCATCCCTGCTACTCTGTCTCTCAAAGTACTTGATTGTATTGAGGAAACTTCTTAGCTTTGGTTTAGTCCAGTTGTGCTGGCTTCCCCTGTAGTGTGTGCTGTGTCCTTCCCTTCACCTAAGATCATTCTTATCTACTATCTAGTTAGTGAATAACCCTCACCCTCCCTCCCCATGCCCGTAACTATCAAAGAATGTTTTCTTCTGTGTTTAAACCTTTTCTTGAGTTACCAAAGCCTTATTTTGGTTATAGTAAAATATTTTATTTTCTTTCCAGGTGAAAGTAAATAATGATTTTAATTATGAATTTTACAATAGTAGCTGGTCTTACGTAAAGCATACGTCGACAATACATACATCATCTCATAGAAACAAATTCTTTTCTGTATCTTCGTCATCTGATTCAGACATTCGTACTTCAAGTAAAAAGGAAATCCATACGAAAAAGGTCAGTATGAAATATCAGTTAACTTTTCCTTATTATAATGACTTTAAGTATTTCTAACTTGAACATAAGTATATTCATGAAAAGGATAAGCTTTCATTTTTTAATTAGGGCAATAGTACTTCTTTAAAGGGACAATATAATATATTTATTTTAAAATGTATAGCTTGTCTTGTTAATTATCTTTGATAATATATTTAATTATACTTATTTGCTCATTAAAATATTTGTTCTTATTTGAAAATCTTAGAAAAAATAACTTACCTTGATATCTTCTAATTAAAACCCCAAAACAAACAAAAAACTATCCCAAATTTCTCATCCATGACTATTGACACCACCATTTTAAGTGTTATACACACACAATTAAAAAAATAACAATTAGTGCTTATAAATGCTTCTAAACTCTAATGCTTGAACTTTTTTAGAAGGTGTATGAAACTAAAAGATTTTAAAAACTTCATAATTTTTGAGATACCAAATTTTTTATCCAAGGAAGTTACATGACTTATTTTTAAGCACTATTGTTTTGAGGTATTAAAACTTTCATCTTGGGAAATCTGAACAATTGAGATAGATTGGACTAATTGATAAACACTTATTTCTGAAGAATTTTTCAGGCTGACCATTCATAATCTGCATATTTTATCTCATTCTTAAAGTAGGTAACTTGATTAATAAATCAGGCAAGGGAATTATAAACGAATATTGATTTCATTTGTCTTACGTGTAAGAAGCAGACTGTGGAAATATGAGCTGTAGAATCTAGAATCATTTATCATTTCCATATAATATTGTTCATATAAATGGAGATTTGGTATAAGGTAGATCTGTCTTGGATACCATTAAGGATGTTTAGGAAGTGTTGAAAAGACTTTATCATAAAGCGGCTTAACTCATAAGTACCCCAGTATGGGAAATAAATTGTATGATCCCTTTGCCTATAAATTACCCTCAAGATGTGGGGCCTAGGGATGCATTATTTTTATATTCTTATTTGGAGGTTATTTTGCAGTTAATGAAGTTGATTCTCTTTTTCTAGTTAGGGAAGGCCTAGCGACTAGGCCTTAGGGGTTTAGAGGTCATGTATAAAAGAAATTACCATGTGTCTTAATCATCTAGTACTGCTCTAACAGAAATACCACAAGTGGATGGCTTCAACAAAGAGAAGTCCATTCTCTCACAGTCCAGTAGGCTACAAGTACAAATTCAGGGCGTCAGTTCCAGGGGAACACTTTCTCCGTCAGCTCAGGAGGAAGGTCCGTGTCAGCAATCTTTCTTTGGTCTGGGAGCATCTCAGCGCAGGAACCTCTGGTCGAAAGGACTTGCTCTGCTCCTGGCACTGCTTTCTTGGTGGTGTGAGGTTCTCATGTGTCTCTGCTCACTTCTCCCTTTTATATCTCAGAAGAGGTTGGCTTAAGACACTATCGAATCTTGTAAACCTCGTCAGTATAACCTCATCACAGTGATAGAATTTACAACACATAAGGGGATTACATATAACCTCATCATAGTGATAGAGTTTACAACACATAAGGAAATCATATCAGATTACACAATCATACAATACTGGGAATCACGACCCAGCCAAGTTGACAGATATTTTGAGGGGACACAATTCAATCCATGACACCATGTTATCACTCAGCTATTCCTCCTATTTGGGACTTCAAAAAATCCTTTGATTACTACCAGAGGGTGGTCTCAGAAGAGATCTCATCATGCATCAAAAATCACAATTCATAATCCAGGTTAATTGGAAATGGCAGTTGGTTGATGGAGGCATCAAAGAGGGAACAATTCCCATTGTCTTTTTATTTGTACCTAAAACTCCTTTTACTCTTTTTTCTTCCCTTAGAGTTACCAGTTAATGGTTATTCAGAACACTGTGGAAGTGGCTCAGTTCATCAATAACAATCCAGAATTTTTACATCTTGCCGAGCCATTCTGGAAGGAACTCACTCACCTCCCCTCCCTCTATGACTACAGTGCCTACCGAAGACTAATCGACCAGTATGGGACTCATTATTTGCAATCTGGATCCTTAGGAGGAGAATACAAAGTTGTATTTTACATGGACTCAGAAATAATGAAAGAAAAAGGTAGAGCATTAGAAAATTGTTATATAAAAGCATCACAGGGATTTTAATGGGGGAAAATAACACATAGTTAATTTCAACTTTAGAACTCTTAAGTTTGAAAAATTTAGAGATTTAAATTGCAAAGGAACCCAAATTTTCAAGAACTCATTATACTCCACTCAAATTCTGACATGTTTTAAGAAAAACCTACTTACTCTTTTGGATGGTGCCCTGAAATATGAGTTAAACCCATGAGAGGATGCTGACTGGATTTTTAGAATATTTTTTAGCTTTTCCCATTTCACTGATTAAACAATATTCCTCAAGGCAACCAAATGAGGAATCTATTGATATTCCAGAAATCAAATTAAGTTGTTTTTTTTTCTTACCTCTGTTCTTTACTACTCACATTTCTTTATAAAAATCTGGTTGGATTATCACAAGTTTGCATGCTACCTAATACTTGTAACGATAGCTAAACTTTATTGGATGCCTTCCTTATGGCAGGTGAGTTACATATGTTAGCGATAATCCTCACTACTGCCCATTGAGGTGGGCACTATAATCCCTGTCCCACAGATTGGGAAAATAGAGACTCAGTGCTATTAAAGGATTAATCCAAGGTCACATAGATCGTAAGGAAGGTATTTAAATTTTGGTCTAACTGGCTCCAAAGTCATTGTATGCACTTCTGCTGCCAGAATTACCTGATTCTTGGTAGAATCATGACGCACCGCTGACTTTATGTTTTGTTGACTTCACGGTGAGTGGAGGAGCCTCTCATCTGCCCTGATGCTGGAGGGCAGGGAGTGGTCTCTTAGCACCCACTCCTCTCCAGACACATTGTGGCCCAGTTGACCAGTGTTTCAGGTCAAAACTACTCCCTCCCATCTTTGTCTTTAGCTTAAGTGCATGCTTCCTTCACCTTTCCAAATCATATTCATCTTCATGGTCTCCTCTGAACTGAAGACTTCCTTACAATCTTGGAAGAGAGTAAGACTTTTTACATGAAATTCAGAGGGGGTCTTGTAGCGTTCTCTTGTGGGTGGGCTACAGTATTTTTCTGTCCATCTCTACCAAATAAAATTTAACTAGAATTTGAATTTTTCTAACCTCACAAAGATCGGAATGCGTAAGAAATGAATGCATAAGCACAAGTTTCTGTAGCAAACATGGGGCCAATGTTTCTTTGGAAAATCAGTCCAGCAACTGGCTTAGTCTAACCTCAGTTTCACTACCCATTTTTTTTTTTTCCTTTAGCATTTAAAAGAAATGCAGAGGATTTTCTTTTAAGCTTTCCAAGTTGGTAGAAGTAGTTGTTTAGTAAAAATTTTATTCTTGAGCAGTTTCTAGTCTTTCTAAAAGTTTTAATTTAAATGTAATCAAAGCCCTGGAGATACAATATGTGCCTCCCCAGTTGTTCTTTATTTTAAGAAATATTGGGGCTATCTGACGGCACCTAACAACAACAGCATTCTAATTATAGTTAGTGTCATGGTTTGAATTATGTCCCCCCAAAAATGTGTGTATCAGTTTGGCTGGGCCATGATTCCTAGAATTGTGTGGTTGGCCTCCATTTTGTAATTGTAATTTTATGTTAAAGAGGATTAGGGTGGGATTGTAACACCACCTTTACCCAGGTCACATCCCTGATCCAATGTAAAGGGAGTTTCCCTGG